AGAAAAGGAAACACAAAAACCGTGGCACTGTAAATTGTTTCTCGTCTTGCTTCTTTCCCAATTTTATTTCATTATTCTGCTAGGTTTTTTCCAAGTTTCATTCTATCGAGCGACTGTAGATGCAGATGCGGATGAATGTTGTGATTTTCATTATCTACATCCACAACGGCGACCACTACTACACTCACACTCACGGACCCACACTGCTACCCAGATTCTTCAGACTCAAACAATAAGATTTTTTTCTTTTTTCATGTCTCCCCAGGCATTGTAATGTAAGTGAGAGACGTGGTTGATTGAATCAGTGACATATCCGTGTTTGAAAAAAAAGAAGGGGTAAAATAAACATAAAAAGTTTTCTTCGTATGTGTTATGACCTGTATCTTCTTCAGATGCATTCATAAGGGTTTTCCCTCTTTTTTTTTATAAGATTATACATATAAGCTTGTGCTCTGCTTCTTTTCTCTTTTGTTAGTCATACACCAATGACTTTCCCTTTCTTTCATATATGTTGGCACTTTCTCATTCGTTCTTCTTTCTTTCACATTGTCTTATGGATATTTCCCTCCTTTGTTCATTGTTTATTATTGCTCTATATATAGCGTTACGTTGTTGTATGAGAGATACAGAAATATAGATAGATAGATAAAAGTAAAGTATAGTTGGATAAAGATCTCACAGTATGCTTTAATCGTTATCTTTTCGTGGAACTCACGTATATTTTCGAAGAAAATAGTGAGTGTAAGTTTTAAGGTCAAGATTTCGCGGCTCCCCCTCCCCTTACATACAGGTCCCCATTACAGACCATAGCAACAGAAGAGAACATTACAGATAGGCCCCCATTACAGACCTTAGCGACCAGATTTAAAATAATGGATATACATCTATATATATATAAAGAAGAATGTTTGTCTGTCTGTCTGTCTGTTTGTCTGTTCGCTATGCATTCCAAAACGGTACAAGCAAATGTAACCAAACTTTCCAAGAATGTTCCTCTCAATCCGGGAAAGGTCGACGCAAGGGGGAAAAAACTCATTCGCGGGCATTCGAATGGATGAGAATGAATGGAATGGATGAGAATGGACGGGAATGGATGAGAATGGACGGGAATGGATGAGAATGGACGGGAATGGATGGGAATGGATGGGAATGGATGAGAATGGATGGGAATGGATGAGAATGGATGGGAATGGATCGAAATAATCAGAGAAATTCAGAAGTAATTTCATATAGTACAAAATTAGCTATATTAACTATTGAAATGTTAAGAGCATGTAACGTACTAAATATGTCCAAACATTTTGTATACATAATAAATCTTTTTAACTTATTAAATAGCATTATTTACTCTAGAAATATTCGAACATGTGTGATTTTCTACAAATATCATCATAAGTATTTACCCATATAATAATGAGATATTATGCTTTTTTTTCGTTACATCATAATGTGTACAGGCAGATAGTAAAAAAGATTTACTATGAACACGCCGAAAGAAAAAATGTCGAAGGCAAAAACGTCGAACAAAAAAAACGAAATAAGAAAACGTCGATCATGTAACATATCGAAACGTCTAAGATGTCATTATTGGAGTAGCTGCCTAATTTGAGTTCGAATATAAATGAAAATTTCGACGCACACCCCCTTTTTATTAGCTGAAGAAAAAGAAAAATTTTTCTTTTCGAAATCGAATTTATAATTCGAACCAGCCACCCATATAATTCTGACAAAAAAAAAATTTTATTCGAATTCGGATTTATAATTCGAACGAAGCACCCATATAATTCTGGTAAAAAAAAAATTTATTCGAATTCGAATTTATAATTCGAACCAGCCACCCATATAATTCTGACAAAAAAAAAATTTTATTCGAATTCGGATTTATAATTCGAACGAAGCACCCATATAATTCTGGTAAAAAAAAAATTTATTCGAATTCGAATTTATAATTCGAACCAGCCGCCCATATAATTCTGGCAAAAAAGAAATTTTTATTCATGGCACTCACAGCAGCTGCAATGATGTGTGCGTGAGTTTATGTGTGAGTCCTTCTTCTTGGAATACCTTTCGCGGCACCCACAACAGCTGCGCTGATGTGTGCGTGAGTTTCTGTGTGAGTCCTTCCTCTTGGAACTCCTTTCCCGGCACCCACAGCAGCTGCTATGATGTGTGCATGAGTTTATGTGAGTCCTTCCTGCCAGATCACCTTTCGCGGCACCCACAGCAGGTGCGATGATGTCTGCGTGAGTATATGTGTGAATCCTTCCTCTCGCAACTCCTAGGAACTTGAAAGTTCAATCTTGAAACATAAAACTTGAAGCTTGAAACTCGAAACTTGAAAACTCAATTGAATTCAAGTTTCAAGTTTTACATATATGGCATTCCAGATGATACTTCTAGCATCCCGGAGGATGCCTCTACCATCCCAGATAATGTTTCTAGGATCTCCGATGATGCTCCTTGCATCTCAGGAGGTTCGTCTGGAGTTTTGAGAAGATGTGTGCTATATTCCCGATGAATCTTCTGGCATCCCAGATGATGCATCCATAATTTGAGATAATGCTTCTATCAATGCACATGATGCTTCTAGGCTTTTACATGATGCTTCAGGCATCGCAGATGATGCTTCTAGCTTCTCAGATGATGCTTGTTGCAACCCAAATGATGCTTCTAGCGTCCCGGACGATCCTTCTAGGATCACACCTGGTGCTCCTAATATCTCAGATGATGGCTTCGGGGTTTCAGATGATGTGTTGAGCACGACAGATGATGCTTCTAGCACCCAGATGATCATTCTAGCATCTGACATGATGCGCCCAGGATTCCAGATGATGTGTCCAGCGCCACATTTGGTGTTTCCAGGATCTCAGGTGAGAATAGTATGCATGAGATTAAGTATTATAACTTAGAAAAACTGCTATTGTGCGCTTCTTTGCTATTTCCACACGCGTGTACCTTGGCATTTATAAATCATAATTTATATAAAATTTTATCTTTTGCTTTTTCTGCCGTAGTTATATGGGTACTTCATCCAAATTACAAATTAGAATTCGAAAAAGAATTTATCTTTTTCTTTTTTTGCCGGAATTATATGGGTGCCGCGTTCGAATTATAAGTTCGAATTCGAATAAAATTTTTTTTTCTTCTTTTGCCAGAATTATATAAGTGACTCGTTCGAATTATAAATTCGAATTCGAATAAAAATTTATCTTTTTCTTTTTCTGCCGTAATAACATGAAGCCTTTTTTTTATTTTTGAAGTGATATCGAGCAGTTGTAGCTCCATTTATATTCGAACTCGAATTAGGCACCTCATGGATCTAGTAGATAACCATGTCGATAATGAAGAAGAAGGTATAGATGCAGAAAATGCCTGTACAACTTCGAAAAAAGATAATTACAATGGCATACGAATATATTCTGCTATTTCTGATCAAGATAAAAATAAATTTTTCAAAATAAATATTAATGGAATCGACAAATTCATACATAAGCAAACAGCAGCTTGGTATTTAACAAAAAAAAATCATTTATCATCTGATAGACGAGTACGTGTTCAACAAACGAATAAACAAAAAAATTAATAATTATCTTTTTTTGTTCAATTTCGTTGGCTATTTGTCATAAGTAAAAAAATGCATTTTTTATATTCAATAAAATGCTTCTTTTTTGTGACATTTAACATAATCTTTTTCGAGCTAGAAGACAGACTTTTTTTGATTATATTATATTAGAAATATTTAAAAAGTTTCTGAACGTATTCATCGATATTTCATCTATTTGAATTCAAAATATTACTTACACTTTAATGTAAAAAGTTACAATGCCATTAAAAACTGAATATTATATGTTAATTCAATAAATCTTCTATTTCATTTTGAATATATAAATATTACTAAACAAGAACCACTACGAATTGCGATGATTAATATACATTATTTAAAAGGATCTAAAGTTTTTTATTTTACTACTAATAATACGAAAAAAGTTTGAAATAGTTTATCGTTAGCGAGTTTAATTATTAACAATCACTATTTCTTAGTACAGCATATTCTTATTTCAATATACTAAAAGGTAAATGGAAAAGTTTATCTGATGCACTGTATCTGTATGATTTGATTTTAACAGCATTTTTCGAACGATTATCTAAATACAAAATACATGGCCATACTACCGTGTAAAATCACTTACACATGATAAAAATGTAATTGATTAGATATGAAGAAATGATAGTCACTTGAATTATCTGAAAGTGATCAGAAATGTTAGGGTGAGTTCTTCTCTCTCTTATATTAATTTCTGCAGTATATACAATTGTTTAGAACATTGCTGAATTTAAAGACTTATTCTCATAGTATTAAATGCAATCTGTTGTGAAATAGTCATCAATATAACATAAAATATTTTGACTTCGGTCAGTAGAAGATAGACAATCTAAGGAAAAAAATGCATTCTTATCATACAATTTCGACAATTTAAGAAAGCCAGAAATATATTTGAGAATCAAGGAATGGATGGGAATGGAAGAGAATGGATGGGAATGGATGGGAATGGATGGGAATGGATGGGAATGGATGGGAATGGATAGGAATGGTTGAGAATGGATGGGAATGGATGGAATGGATCCGAATGCCCGAATAGTTTTTTCCCCCTTGTTTGGAACTCACTTTTTTTGACCATATCCAATAGCTTTTCATTTTCTTCAAACCGAACCGATCCCATCTCTGCACCACACGCGTTATTGATGAATCATAAAAAATTCCTTTGTCGTAACGATTACTCATGTCACAGTGAATAATAATGTTGGGAAAAAGGGATGAAGATAGACCACCTACGTCTACCATACTTGTTCTTGATGAATCATGGAAATTTCCTTTGTTGCAACTATTACTCACATTCTGATCTTCAAGAAAAAAACCAGCACTAATAGTATATAAAACTGACGATTTGTCTAGCCAGCAACAGATTATAACAAATAGTACAATAATAGTTTCATCAATCATGTCTACTTCATTACCAATCTATTGTCAACAATGTCAAACAACAGTATTATCAAATAATTCTCAATTATTAACTCAACATGATAATGTTTTACCACATAATTATTGTTGTCGATGTCATAAAAATTATGAAAAATTATCGATTAGTCAACAAGATAAAATTAACTATAAAAAAGAGCCAACATCTATTTTATTTCAAACAATCAATGAATCTCAAACTATTAGAAAAGAAATTAACAATAATGATCAATCGTTATTATCAAAGAATAATAATTTTTCAATGACAAATGATAATTGGCCTGGTGATCGTATTTTTGATAAACAATGTTCATCAGATTATTGTATAAAACGTTATGATGATTATCTTGCTGATCTAATGTCTAAAAGTAGTGGTTTACCTATAACTTCAAATGAATTGCCTAATATTGCTCCATGTAATGATATTGTTATTGATCATATGCATACTTATGAACGATGTTCAGTCCAATGTATTGCTAATGAACATGTTTTATCATGCTTTCATTCTAGTAGATTTTTTGGGTCTAAAATGTCAAGATCATTGTCGTCAATAATGAAACCTAGATGTCCAGAAGGAAAACGATTTCTAATTATTGGTGGAGGTCCAGCTGGTTTATTTATGGCTATTCAATGTTTATTACGAGGACATGCCGTTCGATTAATTGAACAAAGAACAGTATATAATCGTGCTGTTGCATGTGGTTTACTTGAAACAGAAAAGAAGTTTTTTCAATTCATAGGTTTACCATCATGTTTTTTTCTTCGTGCTACAAATGATGCGAAAAATTTAGGTGTTTACGTTGCAGATATTGAAGAACTTATGATGAAGATACTTATGAAGATGGGAGGATTAATCTATTTAGGATGTCAATTCGAACCTAATCGTCAAATAATTTCAAGTTATTCGCAATCTAAACCTGGTATTCGTTGTTGGGATGGTTTATCTGTTGATCAAGAAATCTATACTGATTATGATGTTTTGGTATATGCTACAGGAAATACAAAATCAATTCCATTAGATTTATTTAAAATGAAACCATCTCGACTTTCTTCTCAAATATTTCAAGAATTTGATTATTTATGGTCATCGAATTTTAAACCATCGTTCTGGAATAATTTAAGTGCTGTTTTCCGTCGTATATTTTGTCAAAAACATTTGTGTCTTCGAACATCACGCAGGATAAGTCCATCATGTTGTTCGAGTCATGATCGTTATCGTTGTTTCAGTTCGATTAAAGAATTTCTTCTCGATACATCATATGATGGTGGTGCAATGATAGTCCAACGACTTAAAGATAAAACAATATATTTAGATGATTGGTTACAAAATGTCAAACAAGAACATATATTATCTTTAAGTGAACATCCATTACTTGCAATGGTTGCTCATATTCCAGCATCTGTATTTGTTTCAAAACAACCACAAAAACAAGTAAACAATATACCGGTTGATTGGATATTTATTCCATGTTTTGTATCATCTGAAAGTATTAATAATAATGAAATACATACTATTCAATTCGAAGGACCATTACCAATTCATTATCATCGAAATGCAAAACAATTTCCTGTTTATCGATTTTTTACTTCTCTTTTACAAAATTATCTTAATGTATCTCTTAATGAAAATCAATGGCATGATTGGTGTCAACAAGATGTAAAATTCAAAAATTATTCTCAACGTTCTATACGTGCTTTTCCACAACAATTTGAAACATTACTTCAATATAGAAGATTAAATATTAAACGACAAGAAACAGGTGAAATCATATTTGATTATGAACAATCCAAATGTAGTATGTGGGGTTATTTCAAAGATCCTATTAATTCTACACAAAAGGAATTTCTTATCATTGGTGATAGTTTATGTTCACCTTATTATCGTTTTGGTATTGGTTTACATAATGCAACAAGAACAACACTCTCATATTTTCATTCTGATCCAAATGAGAGATTACGACAAATGTTAGATGTTGAAATTTCATTGGTTAAACAAATAATTCTTACATTATTTTCTCAAAGTTTTTCCTTAAATATTAATCAATCGGATTCTGATTTTATACATTTAATTAAGAGTACATTGCAGAATCAGTTTGAAGACAACATGTTATTACATGGCAATTATCTTCACAACTAATAGAATATGCATAAATCTGAACAATACAATAGTAATATATCGTCAGAACTTTGTCACAAAAAGGATGAGAATGCAATTCGTCAGTTACTTTTCAATGAACAACCATTTTCTTTTTAAATGACCTTTTGTTTTTTTTTTCATTTATTTTCAAGAAATATTTGTATTATATTTTTTGTTAGTTATATAAAAAGTGAACTGAATAAAATTATGAATTTTAGAATCTGAATTGTGAACTACTGATTGTTCTGATATCAAAATAAGTATCTTTTTGATTGATAGAATATGAACAAAATTTGCTTTTGTAGTTCAAAGAGGATGTTTCCTTTTTCTGTAACATCCTACCAATTTTTATAACAATCTTCATAAAAACAGCCCTTGAATGAAAAGCAACATGAAAAAGATTTTATTGTTGTTTAGGTACTAAGCATGAAAATCTTTTCGTATTCAAATAATTTTAATTTATAAAAAGTAAAAGTTTGAATAGCTAGAAACATTTGTCACAATCTAAAAGAATTTTTGCAAACTTCTGCAAATTCTATTTTCTTTTATAGTCTTTTTAGAAGAGACATCTTTATTGAAAAAACTTTTTGAACAATTTTTGATCGAAAGCGATTATACTCTCATAATTGTTACTTAAAACAATATTCGTTAGAAATAAGAAATGAACTTCTTAAAAGTCTAAAAAATGTATGAGACTAGTGAAGTTATGTAGTTATTAAATTTTGGCGAATTAAATACATTTTTTTTTCTTAATAATCATTTAGAATTTTTAGTTAATAATATCCATTTAATTTTGATTCTTTGCTACATTATATCTTCTTGGTTAAATAATATGAGTTCAAATAAGGAAAAAATAAAATTTTATTCTGACGGTGGCGCATTTAACGGGGAGAGGAAGGCGGCGGCTAAGCGATCGCCTCTCGCTTCAAGAAATCTTTTTTCGACTTTTTTCTAGAAAACATGAAGGAAAAACGCGTTTATACTACCTCGAATGAGCTTCAAAATTTGATTTTTGCCGATAAACGCCTCCCCCTTCCAAAATCCTATATCTACAGCTGTATCTTGAATAGACATGCTTACCAGTGAACAAATGTTGGATTATAACCGATTATATCAGATTATAATCCGATATAATTGGATATAATCTAATATTTTTTCACTAGGTAACCCTAATCGGATTTTCCAAAAGATTCTTTCGATTAGTTCTTTTGTATATCTTTGCAATTTGATCTAACTTGATCATCTATCTTTTTCCAAATGATAGGTAAATGGGCCAAATGTTTATTGATACAAACAAAATTCGAAAGTACAGTTTAATGATGTGAACTTTAACCCGAATACAAAACTTGAATTTTTCTCTATGTCCAGAAAGACTTATACATAATATCTGTTCTTAGTTGCTTGAATTTTGACCTCATGTCACTCAATTCGTTTTAAGAATATATATCGAAATAAAAGTCTATAAAAAGATTTTTCAAGAATCAGACTATTAGACTTTTCAAAGAGACTCATTGCTCAATAACTCGTAGCAAATAAAAAAGAAATATTGCATTATATTTTTTCGAAGTTTCGGGAAAGACTTTATTTTTGCATTTCGGTTACAGTTCACATCTTTGAACACTCATTCTGATGGTTTTTTCATGTCGAAAAAACTCATTGTACAGGGTGTCCCAAAATTATAAGACCCCCCTTTGAGTTTTGAGAAAAATAAAGATTTATCCAACTAAAGGAGGTTTCATTTCCAATATGATGTCATATGCATACACACATAGTAGTAGTCTATCATATGCTATATTCGTTTGAATTCGATCAATTAGCATTAATGAATAAACTCAAAAACTCCCGAGCCACTCCTGTCTCATAATTATAAGACCCCTTCCCCCCCCCAATATAAAAATATTGAATTAATACTAACTTTGTCAACACAAATACTTCTTTTTCGGAATCCACTCAATAGAGGAGAATCTAAACTATATGTTGGGAAAGAAAGATTGGTGACAATTAAGGAGTTATGTGGTAGAAAAGTTAAATATCAAAACTATTGTCATGAAGCTTCACAAAAATGAGTTTTCGCCTCTTCAATACATTGAAATTCAATTTAAAGTGCACCATTGAATAGAGCATCAAAAACTGCATTACCCACATATATTTTCAAAAAAGACTCCGATATTTCGCAATTGTAAGAAAGCATTCAAGATTCCTTTTGCGAAAGGACTTGTAAAAAAATCTCTGATTCCCTACCAAAAATGCACATAAATCTTTTTCCAAGGACATCATTACAAAGAGCGCGAAATTCTGCACAAGATAGACTATTTTCTTTCTCTCGCAAATCAATCTCAAAAAAGTTGAAAATAGAGTTTCATAAAATGGACAAAGCGATGGCTAATCCTGCTGGAAAAAGGAGAGAAGTTAGAGAGATTAAAAAAGACATGGTTTCAACTTTTTTGAGATTGATTTGCGAGAAAAAGAAAATAGCCTACCTTGTGCAAAATTTCGCACTCTTTCTAATGATGTCCTTGGAAAAAGATTTATGTGCATTTTTGGTAGGGAATCAGAGATTTTTTTACATGTCCTTTGGCAAAAAGAATCTTGAATGCCTTCTTAGAATTGCGAAATATCGGTAAGTCTTTTTTGAAAATATATGTGGGTAATGCAGTTTTTGATGCTCTATTCAATGGTGCACTTTAAATTGAATTTCAATGTATTGAAGGGGTGTGGGTGTGGGTGTGGGTGTGGGTGTGGGTGTGGCTGTGGCTGTGG